AACAATAACATTGAAGGCTTTAAGTAGTTTTGGATGTATACCGACCACAATAATTGCTGTTGCTCTGAATTTTTATTCGATTCTGATATGATACTTGACAATTTTCATTGTAATTGAAATTTTTTTTTGTTTAATATAGTTTTTAAATTTATATCTTAATGCTGTACTATTAATTAAGTTTCTAGATGATGTAGTATTCTTGATCTAGTTGTTGTACACCCATAATTGTTTGATTGTTGTGAATGTACTAGGCGCTCTGACTGACTCAAAACTGACTCTGACCTTAACCACAACTGTTTAGGAGACCGCGTTAGGCCGTTAGGGGTGTCCGTTTAATTCAATTGTCGTATTCGAAGGTAGGGCTACCGTAGGATTGTTTACACCAGGAGACGCATTAGAACCAAAGCGAATGACGTCACGTGTATTACTGTGAGCTGTTTGTAAATGAATGCTGAAGGTCCAAGTCACTTGAAGCCATTTAGAAACCAGTCATAAGAATTTTAACGGGGATGTTGTGTAATGTCGGGACGACATTGTTTTGTAAGATGGGGGTATTGTAGAGAGTTCAGTCTCAGTCCAGGTGGACAGGGTGAGGGGAAAAACCCATGGCAGAGTTCAGTCCAGGTGTTTGGCGGGTAGCATATAAATTAAGACGTGGAACACAATGGAGGTCAGCGGAGCGGGGTAAACCCACAGTCGAAGACTGACCAAATAAATTAAGGCGAGGAATGCAGCGGGCAGGGATGAGGGGCAAAACCCACGGCAGAGTTCAGTCCAGGTGTTTGGCGCGTAGCAGATAAATCAAGACTTAAGAAGGTAGGGGGAGTAATCTCTAGCGACGCCTTGGTTGGCTGGTGGACCTATAAGAGGGGACGGTTAGATTGGTGACGGGGGCAACGACAGAGAGCAGACAGAGGTAGAGAACAGCGACGGTAGAGGAAGAGGGCAGTCAGAGCTGTGAGATGAATGAAAGTGTAAGCAAGTGACAGAGCCAATAAAGAACACGAGTTTACTCATCAAATGT